TACTGGGGTCTCCTTGGCGTCTTCGTACATCCGTGATAACGCATCCGGCTTAGTGTTCTTTGATCCCGGCCGGTACGTAATATGGAAGTTGAATCTTGAAAAGAATAGTGCCCATCTCGCCTGTCGCGGGCGTAGACGCTTGGCAGTTCTCAGATACTCTAAGTTCTTATGGTCAGTAAATATTAAGATGGGGTGCACCGCACCTTCCAGCAGGTACCTCCATTCCTCTAACGCCGTTTTGATCGCTAGTAGCTCACGGTCAGCGATATCATAGTTCCTCTCCGCTGGGGTCAGTTTCCGTGAGAAGAACGCTACCGGGTGGAGCAGTTCCTTGGTGCCTTTTCGTTGGGAGAGGATGGAGCCTACCGCATTCTCCGATGCATCTACCTCCAAGATGTAGGGCAGAGCGGCGTCTGGGTGACCCAAAATGGGTGCCGAAGTGAACAGCTTCTTTAAGGCATCGAAAGCTTCCTGCGCTTCTGGTGTCCATCTGAATCGGGTCCCCAGCTTGGTTAGCTGAGTAATGGGGGAGACCAGACCCGAGAAGTTCTTGATGAACTTCCGGTAAAAATTTGCAAAGCCGATGAATCGCTGGACGCCTTTCCTGTCTGTGGGTTCAGGCCAATCCAGTATTGCAGCGACCTTCTGGGGATCCATCGCGACCCCCGCGGTGGAGATAATCAGGCCAAGAAGGCAATGCTGGATTGTTCAAAACAACATTTTTCTGCCTTGGCGTACAACCCATGCTGCCGCAGCCGCCCCAATACTTTTGCTACATGTATTCTGTGTTCCCCCAGAGACGGGGAAAAAATCAGAATGTCGTCTAAATAAACGATCACAAAGACATCCAGAAAATCTCTAAAAATATCATTTACAAAATGTTGAAACGTGGCCGGAGCATTACACAACCCGAACGGCATGACCAGATATTCAAAATGACCGAAGCGGGTGCGGAAGGCCGTCTTCCACTCGTCCCCCTCCCTTATGCGAATCAAGTTGTACGCCCCCCTCAGATCCAGCTTGGTAAAAACTACTGCTGACTTTAAACTTTGGAACAGTTCAGGTACTAACGGTAGTGGGTAACGGTTTTTTATCGTGACCCTGTTCAATTCCCTGTAATCGATACATGGCCTTAAGGTTTTGTCCTTCTTTTCAACAAAGAAGATTCCCGCCCCCGCCGGTGAAGTGGAGTGGCGGATGAACCCCTTCTGGAGGCTGTCCTCGATATATTCCTTTAGGGCCCCCAATTCGGGCTCTGAAAGGGGGAAGATTCGCCCAAAAGGAATTTCTGAGCCGGGTAACAGGTCAATGGGGCAGTCATAAGGGCGGTGGGGGGGTAGAGTATCAGCTCCCCGTTTGCTGAACACATCTAGAAACCCATGGTAGGCCGCAGGGATTACTTGTTTTAATTCAGCTTCCACCTCAGAGCACAGGAGGATTTGGGGGGTCCCCGGGCCCGAAGTGCGGCAGTATATCCGACAGTATGGGGAAGGGAACGTGATTACTCCGGTTTCCCAGTCAATCTGGGGGTTATGGGCCCGTAACCATGGGAGCCCCAGAATGACTGGGAAGAGGGGTGAAGCTATAGCATCCAGGCGGAGGAGTTCCTGGTGCTGGCGGCAATGACAGTGGTGATGGAGGGGGTTTCCTGGTTCACTACCCCCGATTTTATTCTAGAACCGTCGGCCAAATAAATATTGAACCCCTTTTGTTTCAACTGAAGGGGAATACCCTGCTGGTGAGCAAAATTAATATCCACGAAGCAGCTGCATGCCCCAGAGTCAATTATGGCCGATACTTCCACGGTCCTTTCTGGAAGCTGAAAGGAAAGGGGCACCACTAAGTATTGGGATGGACCAACATTGCCAAGGGAAGGAAGGAAGAAGAGGTGCACTTACTCAGTTTCTGCGGGCAGGAACGCGCCATATGACCAGCTTCTCCACAATAGAGGCACAGGTTCTGGGATCGTCTGCGCAGATGTTCCTCTGGGGATAGTTTAGGCCGTGCCAGGCCGAGCTGCATGGGTTCGGGGTTGTCTCCAGGTGGCCGTTTTGGATGACTGGCCTAGGTGTTTGACTGGGACCCTGAAATGATCCCCAGGGATTTCCATGACCCTGGCCGGACCTCTCAAACCTGCGTTCCCGCAGTCTACGGTCAATTTTAATGGTCAGTGCTATTAGGTCCTCTAAAGTCTCAGGTACCTCCACCCGGGCGAGCTCGTCTTTCAGGCCGTCTGATAGGCCAACACGGAACTGATGCAGGAGTGCGAACTCGTTCCAGCGAGTATCCCCCATCCACCGCCTAAATTCAGATGCGTACTCCTCCGCCGCTCGGCGGCCTTGCCGGAGTGTGTACAGAGTAGCTTCAGCAGAAGCTGCCCGCTGCGGGTCATCATAAAGGATGGCCATAGCATCAAAAAAACTGTCAACCGAACCAAGGTGAGGGTCATTTTTTCCCCGTAATCGATGGGCCCAGTCTTGGGGTTCACCCTGCAGGAGGGATATGACGAACCCCACCTTCACGGATTCAGTCACGAAGGTTCGGGGTTGTAGCTCAAAATAGAGGAGGCAGGACTCGCGGAATGCTCTGAACCGTGTGCGGTCCCCGTGGAAACGTTCTGGTAAGGGTACTCGGGGGTCGGCCGCCGGGAGTGGTGCGAGTGCCCCAGACACCAGCACAGGGGCTGCTGGAGGTGTGGGGACCGCGGCCTGTGGGGCAGGAACGGATATAGTGCAGGCCTGGAATTGAGTTTCAATCTGCTGACATCTATCCTGCAGGGCCGATACGGCCTGTGTCAAATTGGATAGGTGCCTGCAGATCTCCTCCAGCGGCGAGGGACCTCCTCTAGACTCAGTCATGGCCTTCTGGTACTGTAAGGGACCGCCCGGCGGTACTACTAGCACTCCACTGAATAGGCGTCCCCAGCGCACGGAGTCTAAGTCCCAGGGTGCTTGTTCACCAGGGCCCTGATGGTGGGGATGGACTTGGAGCTCCCTGAGACCAGGTCGTGACTACCGGGTGCGTCCGTCAGTGGTAGTAGTATGCGCAAGGGGCTCCCACGGGGAAGAGTCTGATGTGAGGAGGTCAGAAGACCCCACTGCACGGGATGGATGGATGGATGAGCAGGGTCAGACGGGCCGGGTCGGTAACAGAGAGGGCGGCAAGGTACAAGGCAGCGGGCATAGAATGGTCGGGTCACACGCCAGGTCAGCAACAGCAGGTCAAATCCAATAGGGGGCATTCAGGAGAGAGGTCAGGCAAAGCAAGGGTCAGAACAGGCGAAAACAGCAAGGTCAGGTTCAATCCGGGTCAATAACTTACAGGGTACAGGTTCACAGGATTCAGAATGCAGGAAAGACCAGAAGGCACTGAATGACAGCTCAGGGTCGTTTAAATATCCCGCCCTGCGCTGCCATTGGTGCCCAGCGGGCGGCCGCGGCTTCTACTGCGCATGCGCGAACTCGAACGCCGCGGCCGGCCCGGAACCAGTGCTCGAGTCCCTGCGCCGGGCGGCATACTGCGCCTGCGCCGGGACCAACGCGGCGGGGATCGAGGGGATCCCTGACAGCCTGTTTATGTCTACTGCCACATGAGTGCAATTTTATTTAAATAAAGGATCTTTATTATGGATTTAACACTATGTGGAGCAATGTATTCCTTTTGCATACTTAATGCCACGAGTCTTGGCCCTATACCTATCTGGAGCAGATTAAGTCACCCCAATAGGGGATTGCTGTAGGAGAACCTTCTACAGGTGAAACTCGAAAAATTAGAATATTGTGCAAAAGTTTATTTATTCCAGTAATGCAACTTAAAAGGTGAAACTAATATATGAGATAGACTCATTACATGCAAAGCAAGATAGTTCAAGCCATGATTTGTCATAATTGTGATGATTATGGCTTACAGCTCATGAAAACCCCAAATACACAATCTCAGAAAATTAGAATATTACATGCAATCAATAAAACAAGGATTGTACATAAAACAATATCGGACCTCTGAAAAGTATAAGCATGCATATGTACTCAGTACTTGGTTTGGGCCCCTTTTGCAGCAATTACTGCCTCAATGTGGTGTGGCATGGAAGCTATCAGCCTGTGGCACTGCTGAGGTGTTATGGAAGACCAGGATGCTTCAATAGTGGCCTTCAGCTCTTCTGCATTGTTCGGTCTCATGTCTCATCTTTCTCTTGGCAATGCACCATAGATTCTCTATGGGGTTCAGGTCAGGCGAGTTTGCTGGCCAATCAAGCACAGTAATCCCACGGTCCTTGAACCAGGTTTTGGTGCTTTTGGCAGTGTGGGCAGGTGCCAAGTCCTGCTGGAAAATGAAGTCAGCATCCCCATAAAGCTTGTCTGCAGAAGGAAGCATGAAGTGCTCCAAAATCTCCTGGTAGACGGCTGCGTTGACCCTGGACTTAATGAAGCACAGTAGACCAACACCAGCAGATGACATGGCTCCCCAAATCAACACAGACTGTGGAAAATTCACACTGGACTTCAAGCATCTTACAGTGTGTGCCTCTCCATTCTTCCTCCATACTCTGGGTCCTTGGTTTCCAAATGAGATGCAAAAGTTGCTCTCATCAGAAAAGAGGACTTTGGACCACTGAGCAACAGACCAGGTCTGTTTTTCTTTAGCCCAGGTAAGATGTTTCTGACGTTGTTTGTTGTTCAAGAGCGGCTTGACAAGAGGAATACGACATTTGAAGCCCATGTCCAGGATCCGTCTGTGTGTGGTGGCTCTTGATGCACTGACTCCAGCCTCAGTCCACTTCTTGTGAAAGTCCCCAACACTTTTGAATGGTCTTCTCTTGACAATCCTCTCCAGGCTGCGGTCATCCCTGCTGCTTGTGCACCTTTTTCTTCCACACTTTTCTCTTCCACATAACTTTCTATTAATGTGCTTTGATACAGCACTTTGGGAACATCCAACTTCTTTTGCAATTACCTTTTGAGGCTTTCCTGTCAGGGCAGGAGCCGAGGAACGGACAGGCAGGCCTAACAATGTAACGCACTGGCTGACGACAACCACCACCCACAGACCGAAGTCCCCCAGGGCGCGGAGTCTAAGTCTCAGGCTGCCCTTCACCAGGGCCCCTGATGGTGGGGATGGACTTGACGCAGCCAGGAACCAGGTCGCGGCCCCCGAGACACCTCAGCTGCGGTAATGGCCGCCGCCAATGGCGTGTAGCTGGTGGAAGAGACAAAAGAGTAGTCAGACAGGCCGGGCTCAACAACAACAGGACAAAACAGTACAGGACAGCAGACGAGAATCACAGGTCACGAGCCGGGTTCAGCAACAGAGGGTCAGATCAAAGGAGAATACAAAGAATAGTCAAGTCACAAGCCAAATCAGAATACCAGGAGAGTCACGAGAGTCAGAACAGAGTAATAGTAACACCAAAACACAAGTGCAAAGAGCATGTGCGGGCCACAGGCTTATATGTCATCAGCCACGCCCCTCTGGGGGGTGGACCTCAGAGACCTGAAGGCATAAAAAGGATTCCCACCATGCACAGCAGAATCCAAGATGGACGCCAGCACATGGAGTAACATAACCTCAGGGAAAAGGTAGGACCTTGACATTTCCCTCCTTATGGAAGGTGTCAATGATGGTTTTCTGCACAGCTGTCAGGTCAGCAGTCTTTCCCATGATTGTGATTCCTACTAAACCAGACTGAGAGACCATTTAAAGGCTCAGAACCCTTTGCAGGTGTTATGGCTTAATTAGCTGATTAGAGTGGGACACTTTGAGCCTAGAATATTGCACCTTTTCACAATATAATTTTCTGAGATTGTGGATTTGGGGTTTTCATGAGCTGTAAGCCATAATCATCACAATTATGACACATCACAACTTGAACTATCTTGCTTTGCATGTAATGAGTCTATCTCATATATTAGTTTCACCTTTTAAGTTGCATTACTGAAATAAATTAACTTTTGCACATTATTCTAATTTTTCGAGGTTTCATTTATACATATCTCTCTTGGGGGATTCAGAGGAAGATTACGCCTGCTAGCCATCTTGGTTGTTATACAACAAAAGCAAAATTGACTGCTCTTCACAGGGGGCCATGTCTTTCTGGTAAACCTTGCATGCGAGTGGTTGGTGACACATCAGCAATCCTTGGAAATTTCCTTGTTTCATCACAGCCTTTGGGGACTATCTTCTTCTGATTAGTTTTCCATTTTGGACATTTTTTTTTATTACCACTATTTATGTATTTCAGAATTCATGTAAGCGCTGCACTTTATGCACAGTATTTTTGAATTGCCTAGTATCAGGGTATTAGTGTTCAGCTGCTACATTTCTTTGCACTTTACATTCTTAACACGGATCTCTGTTTTTAAATGATTTATATTAGCTTCAAAGCTCAACATTATATAGCCAGGATTGATATCCTCAAATAAATCAGTTTTGTTCTTAAACTTCAGATTTTTTGTTTTTAATTTGCTGCTAAAACAAGTCTGTTACAGTTCCTTCCATTAGTACTAGTTACTCGACTAGATACTGCTGCCTCTGATGATGACACATGTCAAAACATGTTAGGCAGAACCAAGCTGTGAGTGAGGTTCCCCGCAATGAGTCTGCTTTCACTCGCGGCCTGTGTTTGCGGCTGGAGCCACTTGCTTTACTTGTCTATGCAAATACCTCCTTGGGCATGACACATGGCAATGTGATTGGCCCTATGATGGAATTTAATAATAAATAATATATTGGTTTTTTGCTATGAAGCCTTCCTTTATGTTCTTTTGACATGTTGTCAAATGGTCTGGAACTGTGGGAACCTTGCAAGCCCAATAATGAAGAGAGTGGATCTATTAACCCATTGTTGGCTGTTAAAAATTGCATAGTGCTCCAACAGGATTGGAAGTGGATTGCATTGTGTATAATACCTTTTAAAGGATCGATATTTTACTTTGTATTTTAAGGTGAAAGTGGCAAGCCATTTACATAAAGAGGTGAAAGACACTTGGTGGTTTGACATTACACCTTTATGCAAAAATAATTTTTGTACAAATTTTATCTATACAGTAATACCTCAGTTCACGAATTTACTTTGTTCTGCAGGACTTTTCGCATAGCGAAAAATTTGTAAACTGAAACACCGTTTCCCATAGATATGCATTGAAAACCAATTAAACCTTTCCGAAGGTCAGAAAAAAGTAAACGCTACTAAAATACTGCATGAATTATTTTAGCAAGTTGCATGGTATTTTAGTAGTGACAACAATGTGTTAATGTTTCAGCTGTCAGCGAGGTTTCCCACTGACAGCTGAATGTAAAAGAATTGCCGGCAATTGCAAAAATAATTTAAAAAACGAAGTGGGGTCTCCCTTCCATCCATACCAAGCCCTTCGGGTCTGGTATGGATTTTGAGGGGAACTCCCATGCCAAAATTAAAAATAAATGGCGTGGGGGTCCCTCCCAAAATCCTTACCAGACCCTTATCAGAGCATGCAGACCAGCAGGTCAGGAAAGGGGGGGGACAAGAGAGCGCCCCCCCCTGAACCATACAAAGCCACATGCCCTCAACATGGGGGGGTGCTTTCATGATGTCCACCATCATCGCCGCTGCCGCCGCTGACCTGAACAAAGAATTAAAAGAAAAAAAGCTCCGCTCCCAACGATGGCTTCCATCCGTCTGCTTCTGAGGTGGCTTGACAGTTCTTAAATATGTAAGGGACGGGGCTACCCAGGGACCTCCACATGGGGTGGGGTCACATGCTTGATGTCCCCAGGTGGCCCCGCCCCTTACATATTTAAGAACTGTCAAACCACTGGAGCAGGCAGACAACAGGAGCCATTGCCGGGATTGGAGCCTTTTTCTTTTTAATTCTTTTTTCGGGTCAGCGGCGGCAACGGCGGGCATCGTGATTGACGTTGGATCTACTCTGGGGGACATTCTTTTCGTTTTTTCTTTTAGTAAAGTACTTCTCAAAGACCGTGTTCTGTCTTTTTTTCACACTACACTTTTTTTTTTTTGTGAATGTACCCCATACTCATTCACATGGGGGGGCGGGATCTGTGGGCCCCCCTGTTAAAGGGGGCTTCTAGATTCCGATAAGCTCCCCCTCTGCCCCAAAGCACCCCCCCATGTTGAGGGCATGTGTCCTTGTATGGTTCAGGAGGGAGGGCGCTCGCTCGCCCCCCCCCCCCCCTTTCCTGACCTGCCAGGCTGCATGCTCGGATAAGGGTCTGGTATCTAGATAGATAGATAGATAGATAGATAGATAGATAGATAGATAGATAGATAGATAGACAGACACACATTATGTGTACAATTTTTTGCACATATTGCACTTGATGGTGGCCATTAAGGATTTTAGTTTTGTTTATTTGGATTTAGGGATAATTATTATGGACACTGTAAACTGAGTTTCACATTATTTTGAAAGCAAATATATTGTTGATATTTTTAAAATAGTTTTTAACACTTTTTCTTGTTATAGGTAGTTTAACACTTTTTGAGTGCACTCATACACATATTTGTTTCTTTACTTGACATGGTACGTTGGAGCACATTCTAGACTGGTGTGATTTTCACAAGCCTCTATTTCTCATCATGCATAACTCTTACTTGGAGCCTTTTCTCCTGTGAATGGTGGGGAAGCACAAGGGTGACACTTATGTGTTGAGATTCCATCTGGTCCAAAGGAAGCAGTATTCACTGTTGGCTGTCTCTGTGAAAAAGCAGCAATATGGAGTACATTACAAAGTCAGTTATTATATATATAATGTTGGTGAGCAAACTGTATGTTTGGTAACTTCACAATATCGTCTAACCTTTTCTACCTGGAAGACACATTTACTTCACTGGATGACTTAATTCCATTTATATAATGAATGTAGTATGTTGTATTTTGTCACTCGAAGTCTCAAGTATGTTTTCGCTCTTTCTAAATAAGGCTAAAATTACAATTATGATTTTAATTAATTTTTAATTTGTGAGGCCCATGGGCAGTCACTTTCGTCTGCCTATAGTATTCTTCTGTTGCCCAGATTTCCCATGAATTAATTTATTTCAAAATTGTACATGTAATTTAGGATTAAGGCTAAAGTCTGGGATAAGCAAATATTGTCTAAATAAAAGAGGCATGTGTATTCTTACTTGAATCTTTGCATGCTTTGAGTATTTCTTTAACATCTGTGCAGTATTCCTCCCACAGCTCTGTTCATTGCACAAGTGTGCAACATGTGCAGTACAAGGATGATGTCACTGCTGTTTTTATATTATTTATGGTGTTATCTGGGTTTGCAAAGGTATTTGGTGCACACAAAGTAGATTTATATCATTTGGTACACACAAAGTAGATTTATATCATTTGGTACAAAGTAGATTTATTTCATTTGTGGCTATGGAGGAATACATTTAAATATGTTTTTGAGCCTGGAGTTCAGCTTTAAATTAAACCTTCCCTGAGGAAAACACAGAGGCAGCCTTTACTGATTTTCCATTCTGCAACTTATAGTTGTTTGGCAGTCATGCTGACCCTCTCATTTCAATAATTTATTCACTAAACCAGAACTTGTATGCAGACTTCTGACTTCATTTTGAATGATCTTATCTACACGCTTGTTCCAAGCCAGTGACTTGGAAAGTACTGAAGCCATTGTGTCAATAGAATAGATAGGCAACTAGCATTTCCTGAAGGAGGCAGCAATGTTAAAGTCTGTATGCGTCTCAGGAAAGAATCATTCTAAGCTTTAATGGATAAAATGTTTTGACTGACAACTTTTATTACCTGAGGTGACAGACAGCTGTTCAACATTGAAGAATAAGGGATAAAACCAAGTGTTAGACTTCTAAAAGGTGGAAGCATCACTTCACATCTTGAACCTGTTAAGAAACATCAGACAACTGCATCTAAGCACCATACCCTTTACAATTATATCCACAAGAAAGGAAAGTGATGTTACAGTAAAACCACTTTTACCACAATCTGGTCATTTCAAAGTGCAACTAGAATTTCTCTAAAAATAAATGATTGTTAGACTCCTCTGAAGTTCAAAGTCATTACTAAGACATTTTTAACCACGTGCCTACCATTGGCTGGAGGACTTTTTGGTGGCAGGTCATCTCAAGCACACAGAAATGTAGGTGACAAAAAAAATGCAGATGAAGAAGAATACATTTGTTTATGTTTTTAGAATGCCGAGGTGCCTACTTGCCTCTGACTGAACCCAGCACAGCTTGAACTGGAGGCAGAGTGCTCTTCCTATGACTACCAGTAGGGTTTATAGAATACCATAAGCAGTACTCCTGAA